ACACACACACACACACACACACACACACACACACACACACACACACAAGCTTACGGAACAGTCATGAGGCCCTGAGTTCAGTCCCCAGCACCACATCAATTAGGCTTGGTGGTGCTCAGCTGTGGTTCCACTGTGGTGGAGGTGGTAGCAGAAGTCTCAGAGGGTCAAATCTACTATCACTGGGAGACGGGATTCTGGGCATGCCTGCGGAGGACCCATCTCAATCATGGGCAGGACCATTCTCTGGGCGGAGGATCCTGGACAGTATAAAGTGGAGAGAGTAAACTGAACACAAGCATTTTTCTCTGCTTCTTGACCTCACATGCATATGAGCAGCTCTCTGAAGCTCCCACACCTGTGATGTCCCCACCATGGGCTATTGTGTGAAACTGAGCCATCACTAACCCTTTCTCCCTTGAGTTGTTTTGGTTAGAAAATTTTATTATAGCAACAGGAAAGGAGACTAAAACCCTTGGCTACAAAGCACTGTGTGTGATTGCCCAGTAATTGTATACACACACACACACACACACACACACACACACACACACACACACACACAGCAAGAGTTTGAATGAAAATGGCCCCCATAGGCTCATAAGGAACAATTATGATTGCCGTGGTCATGCTGTCTCTTCATAGCAATAGAAACCATCTCTCTCTCTCTCTCTCTCTCTCTCTCTCTCTCTCTCTCTCACACACACACACACACACACTCACACACACTTTCCTGTAAACACAGGCAGTTACAGCAGAAGACACTATTGTATGCAGTGAAGTCATTAGTGACAAAGGCAAGATAAAAAGGAGCACAAGGCCACGCTGAGCCGAATGAGACACTGCTTCAAAAGGAGAAAAGAATGATTTAAGGTGGGTAGAGTGTGCCATCTTGGTTTATTTTCCCCCTCTTTATTTTTTTAATAACGCATCTTAACCATTTACCTTTTAATTTGTCACTGCAGTTCCCTGGTTAAGAATGTCTAATAACTGTGAAGCTCTTGCTGTTATTATATTTTCATTTTAATTTTCCATATGCTAAAATAACTACTACTCAGTTGCAATTAGGAACAATTAAAACCCAGACGGTGATTACCTGCATCCCTGGAAACTAGAAGGCAGAGCAAAAGCTCCTTCCCCCAACTAAAGCATCATTAACAGCACAGAACCCTGTGGAGCTAGATCACGTGACCTACTTTCACTACCTCCCAGCAACGTTTTACTACAGAGGTTCCAAAGAGTGAGAGACACTTGAGGCCACTCAGCTTTGGGTCCTCTGGCTCCTTCCCTGTCTTTTCACAGCTGGCCTCACACTGAGGCCAAAGGCTGAGAGCATCTGTTCTTTCAGAAAGCTCATCTCACACAGACATGGGGCAGCCGAGGCTGGCAGGACCTGTGTTCCCAGACCTCTCTCCCAAGTCCTGCCACCCTGCTTCAAAAACTAAGCCAGGAAGGAGCTTTGATGGATTTGTTGTTGTCGTAAAAAAAAAATAATAATAATATGTGAGGTTTGCTCTTTTTGTGTATGTATGTGTAGAGAAGCATGTGTGTACAGGTGCCTGTGTTTATGCGTGTCCAAAGATTAACCTCAACTGTCATTTCTCAGTCACTCTTTAGTCTTTCTCTCCTGGCCTGGAACTCAACAGTTAGTCTATGCTGGCTATCTAGTGAGTGCCTCTGCCTCTCCAGCACCTGCCACCACAGCCGGCTTCTAATGCGGGATCTACGAGCACACTTGAGTTTCCATGTATGTGCAGTAAGGACTTTGCTGGCTGAACCCAGCCTCAGCCCCACAGAGCCTCCCTCTGAAAACAAGCTTAAGGGAAAGAGGGATTCGAAGTTCCATGTGTCCTTGTTGTCAGCCATGTACCTGTTACTACTGAACTTAGCCCGGTAAGATTTCCTTCCACACAACATTCCAGAGAGAAGACATAAACGTGTCTCCTGGGGACTAAGGGCTCAGAGCCTGGTCATGGTAGGAGTACCCCAAACAAGTCATTGCCCTGCTGATGAGATGGGAGCAAGGGTGAGGTAGAGATGGTCCACACCCAAGTAGATGTCTATAGAGCCAGAACTTGTACAAGAGGCAACTGTCCTGGATCAAAAATGAAGGAAATTTCATTTAAAAACAATTTACAAAGACGATATATTTCCCTTTTAGAAAAGTTAAAGTAAATAGACTGATCGGTCTTTTTATTCCCCCAGAAGGACAGAATCTAGCTGTCAAGATGAAAACAGGCTCAGCTGACAATGAACACCCAATAATTTCAAGGCACAAAGCACCCCTCCCCCCAAAAAAAACCCTCACAAACAAATGCATTTCTATTCTATTGTTCTTATTCAACCTCATTTCACCAGGACACACAGACACTGGGACAGAGCTTCAGATATTCCAGGCCTCAACTCACTATATGGCTAACCAGGACCTTGAACTTCTGATCCTCCTGCCTCAGTATCCCAAGTATTAAGATATAAGCATGGACTACCACTTGTTTTCTGTCTTTTTTTTTTTTAAGTTTTCATTTGTGGGAAGAGTATCTTCATGGGGTTGGATGAATAGCTGCTATTTGTAACATAGTTTTTTTTTTATTATTCTTTTTTTTCTTCCTTCTTTGTCTTCTCTGAAGCTTTATCTGATTTTTATCTCTCTTCTCTTCTCAAATGTATCAGATTTACAGAACGAGCATTTAAAATCTACAAATCCTTGCACAAAATATTCCAAAAATCGACAGTGTTCTAAATCAAAATTGGCATGTTTTTCAAAGGGGGAAATTTTCACATCTGACGTCAGGTAATGAATGGGCTGTGATGAGAACACAAGTGTACTAAACACAGTATGGAACTCCCTGTGGGGCAGGTGCCCATTCAAGATGCATAAAAGGCACACACAAATTCACGCTCAGACTTGGGTCTTAGCCCCTCAGTATTTCATTACACACAAGCAAACATTCCCAAGTTCCACCCACCAGAAAAAAAAAAAAAAAAAAAAAAAAAAACTCTCCAACTGGAAACATTTTTGCTCAAGCATTTCGGATATTCATTCATTTTCTCCCCCGGTGTCTGTCTTTATGTCTGCAATAAAAGTTTATAACACATTCAGGTCTACTTCCAAGCAGCACCACACATTTCATAAAAAAGTGCAATCCCTTGTGAGGACGGCCAGGCCAGCCCACCTCCATCCTTTCTCACAGTGCTCACATACATCCTATCACGTGCACTAGGATATCCAGCCACACTCTGTGACAGCCACGTGGCATGACATTTAGTCATCTGAGGTCACCACAACTATGATCCCCAGTGGCCTCGTGTCTCCACACACTACGACCAACATCCGGCACACGGTTGCTAATAGTTATTTAAGGAAGCAATTATCTCGTAGAGCAATTTGAACTAAAAAAAAAAAAAAAATAGGGTTTTATTTTGCCTTAATTCCCCCTTTAACGCTTTCCCTTTCTCTCTATGTACCTGAAGGACTTGCATGCCTCAGCTTTTGTCTTTACTTCACAGCTGGGCTTGGTAACGGGTGTCTGCAGGCTTTGTGAAGTCCTTCGTGCCCCTTCCCTTCCGTCTCCTCATCTACACCGTGGGGATGAAACGACCCTTCTCTTTTGCTGTTTTAAGGACTGTACCATGTTAATGGTGTACCTGGAACCCATGTAGTCCAGTAGCCACCAAACACAATTAGGATATAACTTTTTTCCTATTTATATAAGTAGATATAAATATACACATATATGTACACACATACATGAGTGTGTGTATGTGTGTGAAAACTAAAGCTCAGAAACATTAAGAAATTACTAAAGCCTACAAAGCTAGGAACAGTTGGAGTTTTTTGTTTCTTTTTTTTTTTGAGTTGGGGTATCACTCTGTAGCTCAGCCTGACCTTGCAACTCAAAAGAGATCCTCCTGGGATTATAGAGGTGAACTACTATACCTTGGTAAGAACTGGTTTAAAGGTCCTATATTTCAAGTAAAAATCTGGGATAATTTCTTTTGCCATTCTAGATCTTTTCCTACCACTTCCTTTTATTCAAAGTGGTTAAGAAGTCTCTAAGCAGACATGATGGGAAATACATTAACTGTGAGAATGAAAAGTTAGAAGTCCCCTTGGGCTTTTCCTTCAAGGAGTTCACGGTCTGTCTGGCAGTTTGAAGGAGAAATGTGCCCCGTAAGATCCGGTATTTGCATACTTGGTCATTAGCTGGTGGTGCATCCGGAGGAGGAGGCTGTGGACCCTTGAAAAGATGCAGCCTTGCTGCATTGCGTATGTCACTGACGATGGGCAAGAAGCCGAGGGTTTATAGGCCTGCCTTACTTCCTTTTCTGCCTTTCTGTTTCCTGCATGTGGCTAGAAATGTGATCAACTTCCTACTCTTCCATCCGTGTTGCCACCTCAGTTCTCATGCCTTCCTCTCCATAATGGACTCTATCCCTTGGGATCCATTAACCAAACTAAATCCTTTTTCCTTCAAATTGGCTTTTGCCACGGCGTTTTAGCACAGCCACAAAGTAAGTAACTGTGTTAAGAGAGAAAATGAAGAGTTGAATAACATAACTCTATGTCCAGGTTAGGAAGTCCTGGGAAGGCCACCTGTTAGGGGAGTTAAACTGCCCCAAGGAGTCATTGTGGTGCCCTAGACACCAGATCTCAAACCCAAAAGCCAGGCACAGTAGTGTAGAAAGAGCTAAGTCCTGCCTTTATAAAGCAATGGTTCTCAAACTTCAATGACCAGAACAAACAGATTTAAATCTCGCCTCCAGTTCAACATCGCAGTTCCTTGAGATGGGACAGAATGAAAAGTTAGAATTCGTAATAGATGGAGCAGGAGGCGGAGAGAGGGAGGCAACTGGGTGGCCCTTAGCTAAGGCAGGTGTGAGAAAGGGGAAGTTGGATTTGAGTCTGGACAGAGGATGAAGGGAGAGATCAAAAAGGGAGAAACAATTTCAAAAACTCTAGGAGAAGCACCAGAGTGAAATGGAACATATGAGCACATCTAAACTGAGGAGAAACGTAGCCATGAAAAGCAAAGGATGCTTGCAAGCCTACCACTTGACAGATGGAGGCCGAAGTACTGGAAGCTTAGGCCATCCTCCGGTAGACAGAAAGTTTGAGGCTATTAGAGACCCTGTCTACAAAAAATTAAAAAAAAAATACTTAAACATAGAGATACAGAAAAGCCATTGAGCAAGAGATACCTGAGCGCCCTACATTCTCCAAACATGGGGAGTTGTCTACACTTGGACATAAGAATGTTACTATTTTCCACTAACAGTTCATACCAGGTTTCAATCTTTTTTTTTTTTTCCATGTCCTGACAAGATTTATGCTAGCCATGACCTTAAGAATACATGGGTTTAAAAAGCTTTACAAAGCTGAATGGTGGTGGAACAGGCCTTTACTCCCAGCAATTGGGAGGTAGAGGCAGGAGGATCTCTGTGAGTTCAAGGCCAGCCTGGTCTACAAAGCAAGTTCGAGGACAGCCTGGGCTATGTAGAGAAACCCTGTCTTGAAAAACCAAAAAGTTTAATAAACAAACAACTAAGTAACAGACTTAACAAAACAGTCATGGTTGTATGTTCAGAAGAGGCACTAAGACAATTCACGTGTGACCTTAACGCACTCAGTGCTCCCAGTTCTCCGTACCTTCTGCAGAGCCTCTTCTGTTTTCTCAGGGTTTGTCTTAAGAGCTTGAGAAGCATCATACATAGGAATCGGCATAAACCTCAGCGTGTAGTTCCTGGAGAAAGGAGCAAAAACCCATATATTTTTAAAATAACCTTCTGTTACCTTAATCGAGCGTGTTTTTAGATCTAAAAAGATAGTTTCAAGAATATATTTAAAAAGCCAGGTGCGGTGGTACATGCCTTTAATTCTAGCATTTGGGAGACGGAGGAAGGCAGATCTCTCCCAGTTTGAGGCCAGCCAGTCTATACCAGGGCTACTTAGAGATGGCGTCTCAAACAATCAAACAAACAAAAAATCCCAAAAGAGTATACGAAGGAAGCACAAGAAAGAAGCTGAGCCATTAGCATCCACAAAACAGTCTGCTCTATTCTGGTACCCTTTGGGTACCAGTCACCATAACGGGTGACTGTCTCTAGAATAAGCCATGGGGGAAGGATAGCCTCCTCAGCTAGGTACCCCAATCCCTGCAAACCTGTACAACGTGCCCACAAAGTCAGCCAAAGTCTGCCAAGTACAGAAAACAACTGTGGCATACTGTCCCCATGCTATGTCATTGCTGTTGGCAGGCTGATCAGACTCAAGAGTGCGGGGGACAGCCACCTGGGGTGAAATACAGCACAGAGCTTGGGGTCTGGCCCACCCCAGGGCCTACCCCGCTCCATGCTGCTGTGTGCCCAACCATTCCCGCTAGCTCTGAAACACGCCAGCACAACAGAATAGTGACTTAGCACCCCTCCCCCCATAATAAGGCAACATCAGTGAAAAAAAAAATAATCGTTTTATTAGCAGCGACAATTTTGATAGCTGTTTCCTCACAGGAAAAAACAGCCATCCGGTTCACTAGATAGAGTGCTTCAATATAGAATTAAACAGAGGAAGTCTGCTAACCCCTGCAACCTTAATTACTGTCTTAGTTTGTTTTACAAAGTTGTTTGTTTGTAAAGGGAACCAGCCAAATGAAATTAAAAGACAATAAATCTTTTCTATAATCTTTCCTGCATCCAATTTCTATGACATTATAAACTAGTACGGTGCATCTAAACAACAGAGCTTTGGAAGAGCTGGCATCTTACAGCACATCATTATATAATCGACTGGTCCAGAGATACCCCTGTCTACCTGGAAAAGCTGACTGTTGAGTGGCCTTGTTCCTGGCCTCCCTTAAGTGCTAGCCTGGGCTGGTGGTGGTCCATAAGCCTGAAGGTGGCTGTTGTTATGTAAACACAGTGAAGATCTCCTTCCTACTCTAGGACAGAGGGGCAGCGGCCACAGCTCTTGGGGTGGGAGTGGGGGTGTACTGTGTGTGACGTGGGTAAACTGCCTCACTTACATTCCACAATGGCCTGGGGTCACTAGGCGTGGTGCTTGCCTGGAATCCCAGAACTCTAAGGTAGAGGCAAGAGGACTGTTGCAAGTCTGAGGTCAGCATGGTCCACGTAGCAAGACAAGGTCTCAAAGCAGGACAGAACCTAGGAATTAAATCCTGATTTTTCACTCTGATTTCCTGACTCAAGTAGAAGCATGTGGACCAGAAGGACCAGAAGGTATTTGGAGCTGGTCATGGTGGTATTCACCTTTAATCCCAGCATTTAGGAGGTAGAGGCAAGTGGATTTCTGTGAGTTCAAGGTCAGCCAGGGCTACATACTGAAACGCCTGTCAAGGAAGGAAGGAAGGAAGGAAAGGAAGGAAGGAAGGAAGGAAGGAAGGAAGGAAGGAAGGAAGGAAGAATATTACCTTTAATCTTTTTACCTTCTCACTTGAAGATAAGAATAAATAAAGAAGTAAGATCTACTACTTCTTGCAGATTGGGAAGGAGACAGTACACTGAGCCTGAAGCTCCTCCTGGAGGGCCTTCACAATAGGAGATTGGGGGTGGGGTAGTGAACCAGAACAGTGAGAATTTCCTCCTTTGCCTGGGCGCAGCCCCACATCTCCCACTGTGTTTTAGACCATCTCTTTTCCAAGGACCAGAATCTGCTTAGAGCATTTCTGAAATCTGATGGTCTCCAAATGCCGTGCTCTAGTCACATCCACTCACACTAGAGCCAGGGATTAATGAGGGCAGGTGGAGGATTGCTGTCTGCAAGTCTGAGATGAACAGTGACACAATTCCTTCTGATTCTGGAAATTCCGGAAAGGAAATGTCATTTTTACATTTTTTTAAAAAGGCTTCAACAACTAAGACAAGAGAGGCTCTGGACAGAATCTTGCACTTTCATCAATGAAGTGCATGAAGCTGATATCAAGTTCTGCCTCAGGAACCCAAGACCAACCATCTTTATGTCTAGTACACTCTTGAATTTTTCCTGTTTGCCTCACCTCAACCTCTTTAAATGTGCTCAAGATTTACAAGCACATGGATTCTCCGAGATGTTTTGCTCTTCAATTGAGTACTAGAAATACCTCTCTTCTTTGGAGACGTTCTGATTAATTTCTTAGTCTAACATTAGGGACAATGTTAGTCTAACAGAAAGGACAAGATTCCTCTTTTATAAACAAACAACTTTGTAAAACTAAGACAGTAAATTAAAGTTGTAGGGCATAGCGGACTTCCTTTGCTTAATGCTATATAAATTTTTCATCATGGATTATTTTCATCCATGTCTAGAATTGTTAATTTTTTTCAATTCATTGACCAGAAAAGTACATTTGGCAGCAAACAATTGTAGCTATCAGTTACAATTAAAAACAAAACAAAACCCTTTCATAACAATAAAACAAATAAGCATGGGACTCAAGAGTAACCAATTTCACTTTTATTTTCTGGACTATACACAACTCCCTCCATCCTCATCCACACCGTCCACATTGTCCAGATAAACAGAAGAGTTGACCCAGTGCAGAGAGATTGTAGACCACAAAAGCAGGAGGAACAGTGACCTGATGACCATCTGCTTTGGCAGATCAGCGCCTCATCATTGTTTTGCACATAAGAAAACTCACATCAGGACAAGGCCACTCTCCTCCCCAACTCCATGGCTGGTTTGCAAAGATCTGATCTCTACCTATAGTTTCTCCTACCCCACAAGTGGCACTAAGGCCACTGATTCTTTAGTGTTATCTCAGAGAAGAATCCCGATTAAAACTTACTTTTCCATAGCAACAGCTATGTCCTGAAAGCCTTGTGCGGTGATGTTGTTTTTGTCCCAGATGACTGTCCTGTTTGGAAATGAAACCATGTCAATGGTCAGACACTGAGATATGGAAGGAACGATTCTCCCACTGGAGATAAATCTCTTTGAAGCAACACTGTCTAGGCACACCAGCCTTTTGACATTCCAATATAACACTCATGATTATGCAATGCAGACACTTAATTTTTTAGAAATATCATCATGTCTTAAGTAGTTTTAAGAGTGTGTGTGGGACTGAATTCATAGCTGAATTCTCTGGCTGCATGCACTGATATGCCCTAAACAGGACATAGATTGGACATACCTGTAAGAATTTTAACAGCATTATGTAAGCACTTGTTTCATCAAAACAAAATGGCCATTTCTCTCAATACTATCTATCTATCTATCTATCTATCTATCTATCTATCTATCTATCTATCTATCTATCATCTATCTATCTATCTATCTATCTATCTATCTATCTATCTATCTTCATGCTGGGGATGAACCCATGGAATCATGCATGCTGGTGATACACTCCATCACTAAGCTATATTCTCAGCCCCTACATCATAGTTTAACACAGCTATCACACAAATATTCTTGAAAAATCTATACCTAAAATCACAGAGGATATGTTGATTTATTGCAATACTGAAGACGAGACCAGCCAGCAACTAGAGGACTCGGTCTCTCTGCTCTCCAGACAGTATCCTTCTATTCACATAGAAACTGAAGCCCCTGACCAAAGACCTGTTACTCACCCCTGTGTCCAACATAAACATCTCTCCTCAAAACCTAATGAGAACTTTGCTCTGTCTCATGTTTTCTCATTTCCCTGTCCTGGTATGATCTTGAGAATTTAACTCACTCTACTGGAAAAGACAAGGCTACTATGAAGAATAGGAAGCTGCTTATATATTTATGTGTTTTAGAAAAAATACAAGCTTAGCTTCTGCATATGTAGACTTCCGAGGGTAAGACACAAAACTACATTTTGTTTGTCTGGAAGACCCCAGCCTGACAGCTGTTATTGCTCTCCCATCCTAATCTTAATGACCTCCTCTACCCACACTGACTTTCAAAGACCCTGCTATTGTTCTTGGCCTGTGGCTTCAGTTTAGTTGGAAGGCTCCGATTCTCTCATGCTAGCGAAAAGGAAGCATCCAAAAAGACCCCCGGGAGCAACCGGCATTTGCTCTTCATTCACCAGAGTGACAGACCAGTGGCAAAACCCTCATCACGCTGAGGAAGAGACAGCAATGAGGCAAAGCACAGCTGGTCCTCAAGAAGAGTTATGCGTGTATGAGGTCCAGGGTATGCCCGGGAAACAGCGAAATAGCTCCCATTGGGAACCAACTTTTGAACAGCATCCTTCTTGCGTCCTTGTGTTTTAAGTCTTTATACAAAGGTGTGAGATGGAGGAAAGGCCTCAGACCTATAACCACATAGTCATATATCAAATAAGGACATGTGGCCAGTAATGGAGCACTAAGTATATGCCCAGGGGTATCATGGTCAGTTTCTTTTGTGCAAGCATGCTCTGTGAGGCTCGAAGAGCTGTATCACCCGAGGACGCGTCTCTTAAAACACGGCCTGTCACTAAAAGACAGATTATCTGGGTCTGCTCCGTCAGCATGGCCTGCAAAGATTTCCCTGCCTCTCACCGCCATTATCTCCCCGATTAGCTTTCAAGACTATACTGAAAGAGAAACCATAACACTCTGTCAGGGTTTTATATCACAGAGGACGTCTGAAGCCAAACATCTGAAGAAATCCTATGTATACATTCAGGAGTGTCCCAACCAAGTATTCGGATAAAAGTTTCTTCCCAGAGGGTATCCTGGGAAGCTCAGACACCCCCCCCCTCCCCAGAAGGAGTAGCCACTCGTCAGGGTTGGGACAGCCCCGCCTACCTGAGTTTGGTGTTGATCTGGAGAGCCTTGGCCAGCATCTTCGCCCCCATGTCCCCCATGCCATTCCCACTGATGTCCACCTTGGTTAGGGAGGTGTTGCTGCCCAGGGCATTGATGATGATGGTGACCTCAGCCTTGAGTTTTGAGTCAGCCAGGGACAAGGACTGCAGGGGCTGCGGAACAGATAGCACACAGCACTGAACAGCCTCATCAAAGCAATGGCCACTCTCCGAATTCTCCCACTGAATTGTCTGCTGGGAACTGCTGTCTAAAGCCACGGGTCGGGGTGAGGCTGGAACCTGAAGGTTCTGACAGTCAACAGACATCCTGGGTGACCTGGTGCTTTACTGATGATTATCTGCTGTTTCTATGGCAAGCCACAGATCACCAAGGGGCCCCAACTGAGGCATTATTCTTTTCTATCCAATTTTATTTTCCTACAAGTGAAATAATAACCCTAAAACACACAGTCCAAGTACAAAATAAAAACCACACAAAACGAATAGCGTTCAGCCAGTGAATATTTACTAATCAGTTACTACATCTAGTCACTGCTCACAGTTCTCATGTGTTGGTTCACTTTTATTTTTGGTTGTGAGCCTAGCCTTTAATGGCTGAGCCATCTCTCCAGCCCACATGTTCATTCACTCCATCTCCAGCCATCCATGTATGGACACTATTGTCATCCTCATTTACCAAACAGAAGGATTAAGAAGCTCAACCAAAGTCACATAGAAGATGGGCATTGGGTGGTAGTGGTGGTGGCATTCAAGTTTGTAATCCCGGTACTTGGGAGTTGGAGGCAGAAGGATGAGTATTTCAAGGCCAGCCTCAGCTACATTAGATACTCAAAACCAACATGGGGTGCATGGTATTCTGTCTTACCATAAAACTAAATAGCAAAACAAAACCAAAGCCATGGTGTTAGAAAGGAACTGAACTGCTGTGCGTGGTGGTACAGAGGCAGGCAGATCTCTGTGAGTTTGAGGCCAGCCTGGTCTACAAAGTGAGTCCAGGACAGCCAAGGCTAAACAGAGAAAGCTGGTCAGGGGGTTGGGGAGGGGAAGGAGCTGAATGGGAGTCAGCCTGAATGATCTAGTTTCAGAATGTGTGCTTGCAACACATTGCACTACCCCAAGGATCTTATTTTGGAATATTTTTGATCATCATCCTTTAACTCTCTCTTAAGTTTCCGTCAGAAAATACGCCTGTATTTCAAAAAATGAAAAGTCAAATCTGTATGGCCTGTTAGTTGGCTATACACTGTATGTGACTCCATACCACCATCCTTTCTGTTCCTTTAAACCACAGACTGAAAGCCACACAGGCTGGACACAGGTCTGGTCTGGCCTTCAGGGCAAATGATCAAACACTTCACTGGGATTTCTCCTTCTGTCGAGCCCACTCCACTTACTCTACTGTCTCCGTAATTTGTGGGCACCTGTGTTTGCAAGGCTCAGTGTAAGGCATAGCTTAATGAGATGGGATGGATTCCAAGGCATGAACCAACAAGGCACTGGAAGGCCCAGTTCAGACCTGTGAAATGAGGACATCTCCTGGGTCACGTGGAGTGGTCTATTCTGGCAATATTCCCTTAAGCAGCTCTGGCATTCCAAGCAGGCAAATGGCTAGAGGATTCTAAGGTTTTTCTCAGTGGCCTATGAAATTAGGCCACAGGATGGTCCAGAGTGATCTCCATGACAACAAGCAAACACAAACTAAGATCTACCTGTGCCTGCTCTACCAGGTCGCACTGATCATGCACCTACATGTGTAAAAGAAAGAGGTCTCTGTCAATGAAGTACAAGAGACAGGATGAGAAGGACGGAGTGAAAACTGAAGACATCAGTCAGGCATGGTGGCTCACAAATGAGATCTTAGCAGCTGGGAGGTAAAGGCAGGAGGATAAACCAAGGTCAGACTACACTACAGGAGACCTCGTTTCAAAAAGAAGGAAGAGGAGGAAGAAAACAAAATAAAACACTCAAATATCAATACAGCGCTGTCATGTGACTCAGGTAGAACACTGTCCTCGATGTTCCCATGACATGCTGCTGCCCAGACTTAGCCCAGGACAATCAGAAGGCGACGGCACATCAGACAGATTCAGTTCTACACTGGTGGTAGCTAAGGAGATGACATCTTAGCCAAAAAGCTAAGTGGCTACAGTGTTCTTAAAGTCTTCCATCCAGATAGATGGGAACAACGAAACACGTTCAGACTCAGGCAACCTAACATACAAAACCAAAAACGAAAACCAAACATCCAACACTGCTTCGTGAAGAGCTATAGCCACGTCTCATCGTTTTGAACTCTATTCTCCCACTGTAAAAATGATCTCTCAGGGCTTCTTTCTCATACTGGGAAACTGCCAGATGTCCAAGCTACCAAACTACTATTCCACCACTACATTCAAATTCTAATACAGCCCAATTAACACTTAAGAATATAACGGGAACAGGAGAGCCTGAACTGCATCCATATTTATAAGGTCAGTTCTTCCTGATCCATTGTACTTCCATAAAGCCTTACTACCTAAATGCTTAATGCTTAATCTAGACTTAGTCTCCAGGTTGCCCTACTGGAGGAAACTCACCCTATTCTGTGGATTACAATAAAGGTTTCTATGCAATCCTTCAGAAAAGATTTTCTGCCATGTCGGCTGCTCACTGTCACACATTATGAATCTAGATGGAGTCACCTTCATCTACAATTAAAGATGACACACTGGAGGTCCTGGGAATCTGGGTTTTCTCACTTTGTATCCTGTGCAGTTGCAGGAGACAAAGATATCCCACGGGTTGCCAGGGAGCATGTTCCACAGAGGGCAAAGTGTCAAAGGTGAAGATTATTTTCTGAATGTCCAAATCTTACTTGAAGTAAAACCAAAGATAGGCCCAAAGGAATCAGTTTTCTGTGGAATTTTTGAACCCAGGAGGCTTGATTTCTAATCATTTTAAATTGGTCTGCATATTACAGATTTGTAAGTAAGAGAAAAAATTGATGGTAATTGCCTTTTGAAAAACCCACATCATTTTCAGTGACACAAAAAAATAAAAAAGCCATTCACAGAAGAGTTATTAGCACCATACTAATCAAACCTGTAATTCACATTTACATAGCAAATTTATCATCTGCAAATGTGTTTTCAGGTGCGTTTTAAATATCGAAATTATCCTTAAGTAAGAAACTCGAAAACTACAAAAACAGTTTGAAGATCCTTAAGCAATAAGCAGAACTTGAAAAATGTACTCTTCATGAACTCAAAAACTCCTTACATAATTCACTAAAACGTATATTTGGGGATGGATCTAAAGTATAATTTTGTAACACTAGGTTACCAAATCTTTTAAAATTGGGGAAGTATCAGGAATTCTGAAATGTTAGTAAGGCAGAGTGTTGCAAAGTCAAATTAAATGTATACAATTAGAATTACACTCCAATTCTACTTTTGATTTTAGTAATCTAATATAAAAGGACCAAATGCTGAGAATATTAGCAAGTGAGGACACAGCAAAGCAGCAGAAGCCATTAAATCATTACTTGAATTGTTTAGCCCAGGCTCATCTCAGAATATCAAGAAAACAGATTTTTTACTTCTTAGACGAAGAAAGGGCTAGCAGGACAGAAATGTCCAAACCTCCACCATCATAGGTGCCTTAGGAAAGTGGGGCTTACCAATGTCACAGAACTGTCTATCATTTTCCTATAGACTTTCAAAAGCGGAAGTGATATTTTTCAGAACGTGGCATACTTTGCCTGGTTCATGTAAGAAGTTAGCCTAGAACCCACAGTGTGACTCTTTATAATGGCAACAAGAATTTGAATTTTAGAAACTGTGTTTCTTGACTAAGTATGATTTTGAGAAAAGAAGGACAGTCAGTAAAACGGAACATAAGACACAGTTCCCTTAATTGAATGCATTCATGATAATGCTTCTACTTTGTCAGTTAAATAGCTTTCTTTTTTTTTTTTTTTCATGCACAATAGGATGTTCCTTGAAATTAAACACCTTCACTCTGATCTAAGTCTTGCTCAGGAGCAACTAAAAGCCATGAAAATATAAGAAAGATGACTACAGCTCAAGCCGCGATTTAAGATGAGAGGAAACATCCTTTCTACCTGAAATTCTGTATAATTACTAGATGTAGTCCAAGTTGAAAACAGGATGTTTCTTTTTTTATTTTTATTAATTACAGTTTGTTCACTTTGTACCTCCCCTGTAGCTTCCTCCTTCCTCCCCTCCCAATCGTACCCTCCTTCTCCCTTCTCCACCCGTGTCCCTCCCCAAGGCCACTGATGGGGGAGATCCTGCTCCCCTTCCTACTGATCCTAGTCTATGAGGTCTCATCGAGAATGGCTACATTGTCTTCCTCTGTGGCCTGGTAAGGGTGCTCCCCCTCAGGAGGAGGTAATCAAAGAGCAGGCCAATCAGATTATGTCAGAGACCGTCCCTGTTCCCATTACTATGGAACCCACTTGGACACTGAACTGCGATGGGCTACATCTTGTGCAGGGGTTCTAGGTTATCTCCAAGCATGGTCCTTGGTTGGAGTATCAGTCTCAGAAAAGACCCCTGTGCCCAGATTTTGGTTCTGTTGCTCTCCTTGTGGAGCTCCTGTCCTCTCCAGGTCTTACTATCTCCCCCTTCTTTCATGGATTCTGGCTAAGATGCTCAATTCTCATTCAGAAAGGCAAAGAGGAAGGACATCAGAAGAGGGAGAAAACAGGGAACAAGACAGGAGCCTACCACAGAGGGCCTCTGAAAGGCTCTACCCTGCAGGAGATCAAAGCAGATGCTGAGACCTATAGCCACACTTTGGGCAGAGCGCAGGATGTTTCTTGGCATAATATGCAGTAAGAAAACCAGCTAAGTAGTCTGCGTATTCACGTATGAGCCAGTTAGGGTGCAGATGGGCAGAAGAGTTCATTTGTACCCCTGAAAAATCTCTTAGTTTGAGCCAGTGAGAAGACCCAGAAGTAAAGTCCTGCTGCTGAGACTCATAGCCTAAAATCCCCAAGAGCCACACGGTGGAAGAAGAGAACTGACTCCTATGAGTTGTCCCCTGACACCCAGATACAAGTCATGGTACTTCTGCATATATACACACACACACATACACACACACACACTAATAATAATAATAAATGTCTTTAAAAGTTCTTAGTTTTAATCTTCCTGATGAATTGAAGAATAGAATTTTAAATATTCAAAACTCTGCGAAGACAGATTCTATTTTTAAAATGCCGATAAAAACCTACATGTAAATTATCTGAAAGCGCTTCAGCAACACCCCAATAGAAAAATCACAAAGAGGCCAGTAAAGGGTGCCACGTGATACTCACTGAGTCTTCTTCTTGGATCATCTGCACTAAGTTGTCCAACACGGGCGTCAGATTTCTAAAGAGATTTTAAAGACGTGGACAGTGGAATCAAATCAAAAGCTGTCAGGAGGCTGGTTATTTTCATCATTGTCATATTAAAAAAAAATTCAAAACTCTTACTTGGATTTCATATTATTAAAATTTTTGCCTAACGCCAGGTGCTGTATTGATCTGTTTTTACTGAGCCACACTATTAGGGTAGACAGGTCGGATTCTAAACCTGGAAAGAAAAGCAAAGACAGGATCAAAACACAAGCGGAGAAGTGACTTCATACAGTGAGCTGAGCTCAGTTGCCCCACGACCCTTAGCCTTTATCCTCACAGGAGCTCTCTGCCCTCTTTGTCTTCTTAGTTCACGGGGGAGGGGGGGGTGAACTTGTGTTCTGTATACTAAGCTTCCTTTACAGTCAGCGTAAGGTCGCAGCGTCCGGAAATCATATTGGCAGACAGTTACCCCTCTTCCGAGACACTGCTCCCCGTTAGGCAGCTTGTTAGGTGAGTTTTCTATATGTAATGGGCTCAGCTCACTCACTAAACCAGCAGAAATGAAGCTAACTGATTAAAAAAGTTTGGAACAATTTCATGACTACCAAGAATCCAAAGATGCTGGGCTCAGATCTTTACCACGGGAGGGACGGTATTTTACGATTTGTTTTAGAATCTGTGTGTTGGGCTGTGGCTAGTGGGCCGCTTCCCCTCGCCTCGCTTGTTCCAGCGGCGTCTTAGTTTCTTTCGTGTCTTACCATTGTCGGAGATATCTAAGCTGGTGATGTTGTGGATTTCGGCGATGCAGCCTTCCAACACCTGAGCTCCTCCTGACCTCAGCTAGAGAAACAGACCAAAGACAAGGTGAGGATCTCTTCCCACTGCAGGACCAAAAAATTACCAACAGCGTGTCTTAAAATAAGCTGTGGAAAAGTAAAGGCTTATCAACTCCAAATAGCTATGAATGGACAAAGGATGCTAGTGTCAGTAAAGGAATGATACTGCTTTCTACACCACACAATCCAATATTTCTTAAACCACCAAATACTTAAAAAAAAAAAAAGGAAAAACAAGTGGAGATAAGCAGGCCAAGTTTAACTACTTAGTAGACAGCTGAGGATGTCTACTGAGGGAGCTTACCTGGCATGTTCAAGGCCCTGGGCCTAATCTCCAGCACCAGAAAACCAAACCAAACCACACCAAACCAAACAAAGAACAACAAAAAGGCAATGTATATACAAACTGCATAATATGCCAAGAAACATCCTGTTTTCAAGTCGGACTGCACCCAGTAATTACACAGAATTTCAGGTAGGAAGGATGCTCCCTCTCATCTTAAATCGTGGCTTCTGAGGCAAGACTTAGATCAGAGTGAGGGTGTTTAATTTCAAAGGGCATCCTACTGTGCAAACTGAGCAAAACCGTTCAGACTAGAGACTAGTGTTTCAAGGTGTCACTTCTGTTGCCGAGGTTTGCCTCATCTATCCCAGGGAGCAGCAAGCCAGCATGAGAGTCAAGCTCTCTACCGCACAGTCTTTCCCTATGAAGCCAAAGCAAGCACTAGGGGCTCACATCTTCTTAATTCTCTGATAACACTGGGCTACCATAAGGCCTTCCTGTAGTGAAGAGTGCCCACCTTGTGGCCCTTCCTGCTCAGGAAACATTATTTAACTGGAGAAGACCAGTTGTCATTTACTAGGAGTCAACCATGTACCCAGGAACATGAAACATTTTTTCATGGCACTTACATCAGTGTCTACACTAAACTTATGAGATACCATTTTCTACGCGTTCAAACTGACATAGGAATTTAAAGAATACTCATTTCCTATTTCATTCACAATAGTCTGTAGGTAAACCTCCAAACTGCTGCACACTCTTGTATGTTAAGCACAGATCTTTGGGGAGGGGGGTGTCACTCTTTGTACAGGAGTACTTCAGGAAATCCTATTATTCACACTTTTTTAAGGTGATAGCAAATTGCTGGGAGGTGCCTGGGTGAGTCACCTAGAGGAAGACCCCCTCCAAAGAGACTGATCTGCATATTCCCAGGGAACAGAAACCATCAGCCCCACAGCAGAGAGCTTGTCTGATTCCTCACTCTCCAGTGGCCATGTCCATGGGGATGGCTAGGTTCCCTGGACACCTACAGACATACACTCCAGCATGTTCAAACCCCCCGTTATGCACAGACCAAGTGGGGGCTGCATGCTCTCCCTTGACACCTACAGGTTACTTCCAGCACTCAGCCCTACACAATGCCACGTGAAGAGTGCCCAGGCTGTGCTGTTTGGGGTGACATGAAGGACTGTCTGTATCTGTTGAGTGTAGACACCATTTTCCCCAAATGTTCTGAACCCACAGCCGATGATCTCTCAAATGCACATTCCAAAGCTGCCCAGGAACTGCTGTATTTTGGAAGTTACTGTCAGGTGTTCTCCAGGTTTCCCAAATGCCTGTCATGCCTGTGTCACCATGGCAACTCCAATAGACCTTATTTGGTTCCCCCTCCCAACATTAAGCTTTAAATATTTTAATTTTAGTTTCTTTTTTTGTAATTTTTATCTTTCTACCTATCATATCTATCTAATGTATATGTGTGTATGTGTGTGTGTGTGTGTGTGTGTGTGTGTGTGTGTGTGTGTGTGTTGAATGTGTGCATGTGCACATGGCTTCATGGCTTGGGTACTCTCAGAGACCAGAAGACCTAAGGGGTTGCCGAAGCACTGAGCCATCTCTTCAGCCCTCACTGGCATCTCTCTCTAGAGGCTCCCAGCACTATGCTATTTCAAGAGCCACCTACAGGCTCATACCTGTCTATAAACACTGTGTTCTGGTCTGGGGTAAGGTCAGAAATTAAACATATATTCCTTAGGGGCCTTAGTAGCTATCGTGGGCCCATTGCGCATAATAATAAAAATGGAGGGCTTGTATGCTTTGTTTTTGTAGCTCTTTTTAGCAGTTAATTCTAAATACATTTTATAAATGTGTCATTTTGAGACTGTCAATTTTAAAAGTAAACAGAATAAGAAGAAGAAAAAACAGGGTCTTCACCATAAATAGCTATTGACATGCATTGTTCCAGTCACAGTTTTGTTAACACTTGAAGCAGACCCGCCTAGCATAATGCCAAAGTTAAAGGAGAAGAGATTCAAGCAAGCAGCTCAAAAAACACAACATGATACTCAGAGAATGAAAACAGGGAAAATTTAAGAAGCTAGGCCTAAGCTCATTGGCCTTTCTGATGTTTGTGTGCTGACAATTGATTCCTGTAGAGAAATAAAATTGCACAAGAAAATCTTTATACTCTATCATTATGAAGTGTGGTCAAATATTCTCCTTACAGAAATGGAAAATGCAAATGACAAGTAGTGATCAATTCTGTTCATTTTGTCACTATTTTTAGTGATGTAGCACAGACACACAAAACTAGTATGTTTTTCAACACCTAAAATAATGGAATAGTTGAACACATCCTAAATTATTGATGTATGAAGTACTTACACAGTGGCCAAGCTAGGGGAAGCCCAAGGAGAAAAAAGAAAAAAGGCATTATCAGCAGCAGGCAGAACAAGAATGAAGGCAGAGCTGAAGTCTCTATCAACACAAAGCCTGAAAGAATCAATTCCAAGAGCTACTTCCAACTAGAAGGTGTTTCCAAACGCAATCCAAAAATTTTAAACAACTTATCTTTAGGTACCAAGAATATTCAATTACATTTACAGGTTATTAGGTGACCAAAATTCCCTTAAATCTAAAGCTTTCCCAAACAGTAAAAGCTTTTCCATTACTGTAAATGAAAATCCTTTCAAGTGAATTTGCATAATTAGAGCCACATATGCATATGTGAATTTAAAACCGATTTTAAAATCCTGCTCATTTGCATCCCACATATTAGCATTATTTAAAAGAAAACAAGATTGAGCTGGGTATGGTAGTGGCTGGTAATACATGTATAGTCCCGGAACTCCTGAATTTGCTGCAGGAAGATGGTGAGCTTGAGGGCAGAGTGTGCTAAAATATGCTGAGTTCCAGTCTAGCATGGACAAGTGACCAAGACCTTGGCTCAAATAATCACTAACAGGCAATAAAAAAAAAAAAAAAAAAAAAAGCAAAATGGAGCCTATGTGGTAGGATACCCTGGTAATTCCAACATCTGGGGAGCAGGGATTGCTACAAATTTGAGGCCAGCCTGTCTGTTCTACATACAGAGTCCCTGGCTATCTAGAGATGTAAGATCTTGACTCAAAAAAAAAAAAAAAAGAAAAAAGAAAAAAACAAAAACCAAACAAACAAAAAAAGGAAAATCACAGAGCAGTTCTATGTTACACCATCACTGAGCAATTTAATTGCATTTCTTCACGAGAGTGTCCTCCTTCTCAGGGAGCACTGCAGATGATACAGCTCTAACTGAAAAGTCAAACCGAACATTCCAGCATGTATCTAATAGCATGTGAGAGTGTTTGTGTTTGTGTGATAGCATGTGAGAGTGTTTGTGTGTTTGCAATCCCAATCCTTGGGATTAGCAGTTTTAGGTCAGCCTGGGCTACACAGCAAGCTTGAGGACAGGCGGGTCTACCAGAGACTCTGACTCTCAAAAATTTAACATACCTTTCAAAATTGTTTTGAAAATTGTTATTTATCTGGCCATGGGGAGAAAGTTAGGTGTGGAGTTCTTCCATAATTCTGACTAGCATGCTAGGATTGAAGAAAGAAGCATCTAAGATGGAGAATCTGAGAATTAACAGCAAAGGAATGTTTCTACATGAAGGAAAGTTTCTTTCTGAGAGCAATGCATAAACACTAAAGTGTGGAACAGAACACTGTAACAGCTTAGAGAATAATTTTGTGCTTCGCCAATTTTAATGAGCAGCAGTGTAACGTATAACCAGGAAGTGGGGTCACTGGTCCTGTAACTTCAGCTATAAAGCAGTGGAAGAGCAGAGGGCTAAAATGCTTGTAGGGCTTTTTGTCTTCCTATTGTAAATTTTCTTAAAACCCATAAATGAAAGACCCAAATTAATGTAAAATTATCATAACAATAGTGGTCAATCCCACTGTCAAAATAATCATTTGATCTAGATTCCTATCTTCTCAAAAAAGAAAACTCCAAGCACAAAGGTCAATCAGTAAGGGCTGACTGATGAAAACTCACAGAAACTGCTGGGATCCCCTGGCCTCAATGTATCCTCCAATCTCACAATTCGTGGACTTCAGGAGTGCCCCACCAAGCCTGCCCTGCCTGACGTTTTTAACCTACAAAAATATTTTATATGGTTCACGTAATATTACCTTCAAGAGATTTTAAAAAGTAAATAAATAAAGACGACAGTTCCAAAAAATAAGATAATAATAAGAACACTTTTTAAACTAGGTAGGTCTACCTGGCAGTCTTTGAGCAACATCCTGTCTCAAAGTAGCCGAGATGAAAATATCTAATCATAATCAGTGTTCTAAGGATTGCCAATGTTGGTATTAGCAGAGCGCCATCAGAGGGCTGGATTGCTTCAAATATTTTAGATTTCACCATTTCCTCATCTGTACATGACGCCAACAGGTCACTCGTGACTCTCGCAGCTTGATCATGGTGACAGAATGTCTCATCAGGCTGAAAAAAAGCCACAGCTCACGGAGTCTCACCAACGCCCTGACAGAGTGACCCTGAATAGCCCCCATTACCACTCTCCCATGAGAAATGGACTTTACTGTTGGCACATCCTTAGCAAAATGTTGATAAGTAAAACATTCACGTTGCTGGAGTTGGTTTCTACTTCGTGTCAGTCTTTATAAACAGGGCCAATGATTGCATTTAATCAAAACTAATACTCTAGGGTTTTTTGTTTGTTTGTTTTGGTTTGGTTTTAGCTTAGGTGGAATTTTGCTTTTCCAAAACATTAAGACTAAATAGGTCACAAAAATAACGTTCATGACAAAAATTAACGAAAACTCCAACTGATATTTCATATGGTACAACTCCAGCCTTGTCAACGTCCAGACCCTTCATGTATGTATGTGCTTCTTATTCAGTATCCAGCTTGGGCTTGGTACCTGGCATTCTGTGAAGCAGTATGGGGAACCATACAAACACTGCCCTCCCAGAAAGCCACAACCTGGCTAGGAAAGCAAACAAGAGCCTATTTTATAATTTCTGAGTGTTGCATATCAAGGAAGGGATGTGGCAGGCAGAGAGACGGACAGGAACACAGCGATAGGTGATAATTTATCGTATGTTTCCAAACAATGCCTTCAGATCTTGGGGCATCTTCCTAGAAGAATACTAGTCCTGCTTCTATCTTGCACAGACAGAGATTCAGTGATGTCACCCGTGATGGCTCATCTCCATTATCAACCCAGACTGGATCCATAATAACCTAGAAAACCCACTTCCAGGTGTGTCTATGGGGGAATTCCCGGAGCAATTTAATTGAGGGAAAGCACCCCACAGGATGTAGGCAGCAGAATCCTATGAATCAGGGTCTTGGATTTCATTAAAAGGAGAAAACGAATAGCACCAGCACTCATTGCTCTCTGCTTCCTGGTGACAGCTACAATGTGACAGCTGCCTGGTTCTCTCAAACCTTACCTTCCTGAGATGATGGATCACAGCCTTAAACAGTAAGCTGAAATAAAACCTTCCCTCCCTACGGTCCAAAAGCCAGATATTTGTCACAGCAGTGAACAGAGTGACTAATGCACCTGCCAGTCCACCTAGGATGACACAGTGTGAGGGACTTATAAGCAAGATTGGCCTTGACTTAGGTCCTCAAGGAGAATGGCCTTGAGGAGGAAGAGAGTTAGTAGGGAGCATATGAAGGTGAAGACTAGGCTCTCCTCTAGTCTCAGGAAAGAGATGGGGAGGATACAATGGGCAAAGCGAGGCTCGGAACAGGACAAGTGTCTCCACCTGCGGACTGGCTTACTAATCTCCTCATGAACCAACAGCTTCACGATGAGGAAATCTAGGCATCCTCTCACACACAGGCTTTCAGTCTCCACTCCTCTCTGAGGGCTCCTCTACTTCCTTCTGGAAGTATTCGGGCCTGCTATGTAATTTCAGGAGATATTTTAATGTTCCTGTCTTAAGCCAAGATATTAAAAAGAGTTAGTAAGAAGACAGCCATCCTATTTTGCCCCGTACAAATCCAAGTTCAGCTCTGTGCATTAGTCCCCTGAAGCCAATGTGGTACACTGCATTTCAGGATGGTGAATTTAGCTTATGGCTTTGTTTCGTGGGGATTCATCATAAAACACTCAGGCAACAGGCGCTAAGAATGGGGGGAAAGTCATTAAAAGCACACTCCAGTGTAATTGGAAAGGTGTTCTGTGGTGAGTTGTAGATAAAATTGCAAAACACGGAACATATGAGGCTTGCATACTGTGTTTTTCTGCTTCATTTCTCTCTATGGAATCACAACATCACACTTTTCCAGGAAGGATGCAGAAACAATTTTGAAGCTGTTATTTATTTCATTGTGCTGTCAGGGTGGGCCTACCTCGCAGCTGCTGAGATCCAGAGAGACCCCCTTCAAGCTATGGTTGCAGGCCAAGCCCAAGAGCAGTGCCCTGAGGAAAGGAAACACATGGACATATTAGGCACAGTTTAACATGAAGAACAGTAATGTGCACACAATGGCACACTCACACATAAACACAAAACAATCATGCACGCGCACACGCACACACACACACACACACACAGAGCAAGCTCACTGAATAAAGCCTGAAAAATGAACACCTTTTCTGAAACACAGGTCAGGCACCACTCACCCTCTCAGTTTTTCACAATGCCAACTGTATTCTGCCCCTGACAACAGTGGGCACGTGACACTCTTGCATTCTTCTCTCTGACAGGGGGTGACTCTATCATAAATGCAAGCCTTGGAAACAGTGCTATTGCTATGCAAATAAACCCTCAGCCCACCTAATTGCATGCTGAAATCACACTGTGTTTGTCGTAGATAAATCCCCACCTGAATCTGCTTGAGAACAGCTTTAATGATCATCAGAATATTTTTAGGTGATTGTCATTAGTGTAGCCCTGAGGCTGGCTTTCCCTGAGGAATAGACAGTGAGGGAGTCTGGCCCCAGAAGGTGAAAGGAGAGCTGGATGAGTTTATTAAGACACCTAGCACAGTGTATAGGTGACGACACAAACACCCTGGATGTAAGACACAGAGTTGTGTCCAGGATCCTGGCAGTCCAGTCACCTGCAGGATGAGGGCAGAGGCCATCTCCCTTCCACAAACTGAGAAGATTAGGTTCATTGCCCAGATATCAAAACTCCTGAGAAAGTGTATTGATTCCACTGCCACAAGCCAGTCCTATGAAGCCAACGCAGTGGAGCACATCTGGATTCACATGTGCAAAAGCAGCTCTTAAATGCTGCAGAACAGAGGCACGGTGGGCAAAGGCATCTGCTACCAGGCCTGGTGACCTAAGGCCAATCCCTGTGACTCATGTGATTGACAGAACCAATTCCTGCACCTTGTCCTCTAACCTCTGCACAGAAAGCACAGTATACTCAGGCAAACACACACACACACACACACACACACACACACACACACACGATAAATATAAAAACAAGAGAAAAAAAAAATCCCACCAAATGGAATGAAGTCCTCAATCAGATCTCATGCTGAACTCAAAGTTGAGCAGCAGGAAGGAAGCTGAGACTGGCCAGGATACAAGGCAGACAGCACACACACCAAACATTTCCTAGGCCTTTCCTACCTGGAGGGACACCTGTCCCTAACACTCCTAGAGAGGGGACCTCCACCCAGAAAAAGGACCGCTATCCCAAAGCGTGTAAGGGGAAAGGAAATATGCAGAGAAGGGATTATGTCATGACGGATCCTTGAGAGTTTGTCCTTCCAGCAGTTCTCAGGCCTTGGACACACGGTGAGAACTCCACAGTAGCCAATGAATAGCTATTCTACATATATAAATGTTGACAATGCTTTAAAAACTCAACACGGTGAACTTACCACCAAAACCATCCTGAATGTGCCAGTCTCCAAATCTACTCTATGAGTAGGGGGACTAAGCACATGGCAGGGTCGAAATAAATATTAGCTGAATGAGTACGTCAACAATATGACTCAAGTATAAAAGAATCTCGATAGAATACTAATCCTGACAGCTGTTTTAACAAGCTACCAGAAAACCAGTCTTGACCGATGTGCGTATGTGTGTGTGTGTGTGAGAAAGAGAGAACATATATGTGTAAGAAACAGAGGGTGAGTGTTTGTGTGTATGTATGCACATGTGCCCGTGTGAATGCAGGCACAAGTACGTGGAGGTCAAAGGACAACTTCTGGGAGTCGGTTTTCTCCCTCCTCCCTTACACAGGTTCTAGGGATCAAGTTCAGGTTGTCAGGATTGCAAGCGCTTTCTCTTGCTGAGCCACCTCACGAACCAAACACTGCCTAATCTTACCTCTGTAACTACCTCGTAACAAAGTGATTTCCTTTCATGACACAGTAAAGAGTGAATCTGATTACTATCAGTAGGAGAAAAAGTTAAACGTTGGTTGAAACATACGCAAAAGAATGTCCAGAATGGGCCGGAGAGAAGTTTAAAGAGACAGTGGTCTCTGGGAAAATATCTCAAACTTTCTTCACTTTTGCACATCATCTGCACATAGATGGGGTGCACTGTGCTATTTCCACAGCTGCCCAGGATACAACTTTTATGTGACGTCTTTTACAGAAGGCCAAAAGGCACAGGAAAGACCAACAGGAGATACAGCAAAGCAACATCCATCAAGCACTATTTGCTGTAAATCTGCAAGTCACTCTCCTGCCTCAGAGGCCTTTCTAACAGGGCGTGTCCTGCCTCTGTTCCTTCCAGCACATTCATAACCACAAATGTAATTTAAAAAAATCTGGAGACGACGAGTGAATCACTCACTTCAAGGGCTCAGGAGACAGTTTTGTGCCTGAAAGATTGATTTGCATCAAAGCCAGAGAACTGCTGAAAAACTGCTTGAAAGATGGAGGGACTTCCTTTCCTTTCCTAGAAAAAAGAGAGAAAGAAAAGACACAAGCATCAAAAGAATGGTTACATTCCATCCTTCCTGCTTATTGGGAAGGGTGACGTGTGAGATACACAAAACAAGTCCTATCTCCAGTACACCTTTAAAGAAGAAACAAGTACCTAAGTGCTCACCTAAGAGGGGAAGACTGTTACAAAACAGTTTATTCCTTTTCTTGGTATCTAATAAACTCATTGTATTTCAGCGCACTGATGTTCAAGAAACATAAAATACACACACAAATGAAGCAGGCCAGAACTGAGCACTAGTCATCAAGGTCACGAACTTTGTCTGTGGACAAGTGGAGCTGCATTTGGCAGTGTGCTCAGTGACAGCTCATTTGCTTGTTTGCCTGTTTGTGTTTTTGCACTACTCACGACTGACCCTCAGAATCCATGTACTAGAGGCATCCACCGAGCCACACACCCAGCTCGATTTTTGAGACACAGTCTCACACAACTCACGTTGCTCCTAAACTCACTACGGAGCCAAAGATAACCCCAAATTCCTCAGCCTCTTGTCTCCACATCCCAAGTGCTGAGATAACAGAAATGTGCCATTTTGTTATGAAGCCTAAAATATCTTCCTGCGTCTGCCTCCCAATTGCAGGGATGACAGATGAGCCCCACCACAAACAGTAGGTAGTATGATTAGACTAACAGGTATACTCACTGAGAGGGTTACCTGAAGTGGAACTGAGGAACAGCACAGAAGGTGAATGGCATGAAGCCCGCACGACCAACAGCCTATTTGTCTACTATACTCACACTGCAATTACCTAATTCTTTGAGGCCCAACATTAGAATGAAGACAAGAGCAGGAAACGAAGTGGCTGGACAATGCTTTCTCTTGCTATGTCAATCAAAGTGGACCAAGCCATACCTGGGTCAAACCCATACTCTTGACGGTTTGCAGTGGAACAGGCTCAAGCACCCACACGGCAGTGTACAGGCTTAGCCTGTTCCGTTCTCTAGGAATCGGGAAGAGCTCAGCAGCCTGGAGCACTTAACTGATGCCCACGATGCCACTTAGATGATTGCAAGTCACACAGAGGGCAGCAGGCACCTCAGGGGTCTAGCCCTGCCACATAATATGCAACAGCATTTTACACGCTGAGAGGTCTTAAAAAAAAAAAAAAAAAAAAAAACAGTGATTTTTGAGAGCCTTAAAAAGCAGCGTTAAAACGTGACCATCTCCAGCTATTTGCAAAGAAAAATGTAAGCCGCAAGAATCTTCACCTGAGAGAGAAGAAAAGTCAGACTAAGAACAAGGGGGATTCTGACTGTGCACACAATATTAGATATGTCAGAGAGCTATTTCCAGACAGTAGAGCCTGTCAGATAGGATATTTTTTGTATTTTTTTGGTAAGCAAATGTCATTTACAGTGCTGTTTGGATATACAATTCTACTCATGGTGCTCTGCTTTGAGGTTGTTTTAACATTCCCTAATATTTGCTGTCCCTTCATAAGGGACAGTGTCCACTTACCACCCCAGTGACAGCTGGCTTGGTCCTGCAAACCTCTGCAACCAATGGCATGTGAAAGGACCTGACCTGACTCTAGAAAGCAGCTTTCTGAGCCAGGACACACACTGCCAGGATCGTCCTGCTCTCTGTTACATCTTCCCGATACAGGATGCTTTCTCCCAGGCTGAAGGTGACACAGTCACCCCACATGGGACATGTGGACAACCCAGCCTCCCTGATGGGCACGACTATGAAACTGTTTGTGAACAAAACCTGACTCATGCGGGTAGCATTCCATACCTCAATACAAACTCACTGATTTTGACAGAATTACCAAGGGTTTTCCAGGAGCCTATCCGTGCAAGGTGCTGGGCATCACGAGTTTAATCATAATGGTTCATCTGGACGACAAGGCAATGTGTTAGCACCGCTCTGCGATACACAAAGAGCAGCGCCCCTGAAGACCAGTTATGACAGAACTCACAGCCACTGAACTCAAAAGAGCTGATTACACAAAAACCTTCATAAGATGAGCTGTCATCCTGTAATTCAGTTCCTCAGTCAATTACAGCTCTGTCAAAGCAAGGCTTCGTGACCTGCCTCTAAACACGTAAGACAGGACAGCCTGGATGAGCACTCGCTCATCATGCTGTCTCCCAGATGTGACATTCTCTAACTATACTCTATTGAGGGACCTGAAGTACATCTTTGGTAGAGCTCATCTCTCCCTCCCTCCATTTTGCTTTGTTTGCTTATTCGAGACAAGAGTCCTATGTAGTATGGGCTGTTCTCAAACTCACTAGGTAACTGAGGAATCACCTTGAACTCCCAACTCTCCTGCCGCTACCTGGGATTTCAGGCGTGTGCAACCATACGGGAAATGTTCATATTGCTCTTGAAGTAATGGACCCAAAGTACTTAGAAACCTATATTGACATACATGCAAGGCAGCTTATAGAATAAAGCATGCCACAAAAGTGAATTTTCCAAATAAGTTATTCCCTTGAATATAGAAGGCTTTTAAAAGATGAACTAGGAAATATGGAGGAAGCACTACTCTTAAGCGGTACCCCAGATCATTAAAGACTGTAATGGACAAAAGAGACTTGATGGGATTGTGCTCATGATCCTGCACAGTGAGGGCTGAGCTGGACTGATGCACCGAATGGCCATGGATACTGCATCTGTGAGAAACGAGCGCTTTTCATCACTCTCTCCATGCAGAGTGGCAAATGTTTATGAATCCTTGCTGCTTCTAATAGACCATGCCAGCAGGTGTAAGACTGGAGGCAGAATGGAGCTGCTGTAATTGGCCCTCCCCTCCTGCAAATCACAAACACGGCATCCAGGGTGACCACTCTTTGTTCTCTGTGGCTGTTCATACTTACTACTAACCTCATCACTGAGAAGATGTTGTAGACATTTGTAAAGGGGTTTTATCACATTAAGAGAGAGTACCTGTCCACATATGTGAAATCATGTACTATCTTACAGCTCACATAAAAAGGCTAGCATTATAGACAACACCGTTAAAACAATGCAATAAAAAAATCTTAAACTTTCAAAGCCTCAAACTTATAGCTATGATTTAAGACCACCTTTCATGTAGAACATTTACTTTCCAAGCCACGTATGGTAGTCTACAAACCTGTAATCCCACCTCTAGGGATTGGTATTAGTTAGAAGACAGGCTACAGATTATGAGACCCTGTCTCGAATAACAACAGATTTTCCTTCCATCAACCACACTGTGATCATTATCCATACCTGTGGGAGAAGACAGATCTGGAGAGGTTGAGCACAGCTAGACACTGAAGGCACCCGCGGAGAAGAGCACTACACACCTGAGGAGATAAGAGGATTGCCAGTACTTTTACACAGTTCTAGGTCAATGAGAATATTCTACTAAAGAGACAGGCCTCTATCCCATCCAAAGAGGCATCCCGAGAGCCTGAGCGGTAGGAAGAGGCATTACCATGTCCAGAGAACATTCCGTATTAGATAAATCCAGATGAACAATGGTATTGGGCTGGGCCAAAAAATTGTACATGTGCTGAAAAGGAACAAAAGAGTGAATGTTAGGCTCTAGAGAGACACACGCAACTCAATGCTTTAAAACACAGCCACCCACATGCCCCACACCTTTTCGACTGTTTTTGAAAAACATCTGCCAACTTTTCTGTGATCCTATCTCCTTCCCTAAGAGCAAAAACCCAAAAGGCACTTAAAGAAAAATTACACATGCAAAAAAAAAAAAAAAAAAAAAAAAAATGGCCAAGAGGAATCTTAGTGCCTCCCCCCTTATACACATGACTTTCTTTTCTTTATTAATTCAGTTTTTTATTCTGTAAATTTGAGCACTGTTAATTAACTTTTAACTCCTGGGTCTCAAATGCCACCTGAATTGCAGGCAGCCTAACAAAATTTGAATCACTCCTCAAAGTGTTGTGAAAAGCACTATTTGAGTTGGAGCCAAAGATGGTCTCAGGCTATATTCTTTTTTCCCCAAAATAACGTGTTTTTTTTTTCTTTATCTTTATCTTTAGTGATTTCTAAAAACCTAACAAGATTGTCCTGAGGAAAGTACTAGGAAAGCAAAACCAAAAGAACTCAGAATTCAAGCACTGCTAAAATTTCTGGTTTTGGGACACAACAATGCCTACAATTTCTTGACCATCCCTTCCCCCACAACCCTGCATGAGCATGAAAACAATGAAATAAATCCCTCTGATGTCCTTTAATTTCCCCAGTGTAACCAGGAGCCTGAGGTGGCCAATGACACAGTCCAGTGTCCTGCCCCTGGTGACAACCTTCACCTTACCTCTGCTTCACCAGATGCCACCAGCGAGTTAAAAGCACACACAAGCTTATCTGACAGAGCCTCATTTCTGAGCCAACACTCATTAAATGCTGCAGCGTGGCTCTAGGAAAATTCCTCTTCGGTAAAGAGTTCAAAAGAACGTAAAACTAGCCTACTGGTGCTGAAGTAACCAGGGGCCAGGAACAGATTACACAGTGTCAAGGTCTGGCTCAGCAGAAACAAGTTGCTTTCATTTATATGGAGTCGCCCTGGCTCTGGCTCCAGCCCCAGAGGCCTTCCTTGAGGCATTTTATCTCTGTGTGGTTTTTGCTTCCTTCTACCAGCTGGGGGAGCTCTCCCCCCCCACCCCCCAACCAAGTAGTAACCTTTGCAAGTGGCTTTCCCAGAAAGCTTAAGGCCAGGGAGTTCTGTGCACCTGCAGAGGACTCTAGAGCCATGGTGTGTCTCTGGCTGGGAGCCCATGTTCACTCAGCCTCTTCACTGCCCTCGCTGTACTTAGGCAAACAGGAACAAGCTGTACCTCTGGATCAGAAAAGTGGGGCTATTCGCTGATCATTATTCATGTTCCTGTTGTAGATAAGTCTTATTATTTAATCTTGGCCTCTTCTTTTTATTTGCCTTTGCTATTGTATCACTTATTTTATTTTAAAATATTTACTTATTTGTTTTATGAGAGTGCACAGGAGTGTAATTGTGTGTACCATATCCATGTACACAGGAGCCCACAGAGACAGAAGAAGGCATCAGATCCCTGGAACTAGGATGCTAGATGTGGTTGTGAGGTGCCATGTGGGTACTGGGATCTGAACCAATACCCTCTACAATAGGAGTAAACATCCTTAACCACTAAGCCGTCTCTCCAGCCCCTATTTTATTTTTTGAGACTGGGTGTTACTTTGTAACTCAGGCTGGCTTGGAACTCACTCTGTAGTCCAGGCTAATCTCAAGCTCAAGGCAATCCTCCTGTCTCAGCCACCTTCGTTCTAGTAATGTACCTCCACACCCAGCATACCATCTCATTTACCCTTCACTCCAGCCCTCTACTGTGCCACCATGAGGCTGTGGTCTTTCCCATGGAGCTCCTTGCTCCATCTTGGGAGAGAGTGGGTTTAAGGATTATCAGTGAAGTGGACACCAGAAATGAAAAATGAAAGTCAAAATGGAAAGACACCAGTAAATAAGCTCTGTTGAAATGATTACAAATGTGAAGAGGGTGTGTGTGTGTATGCAAAATTAAATAAACACACAAAGCTTTCATTTACCCTGCCCCTAATAGGTAAAGTGAAACAAAATAAATGAGAATAAATTACAGTGGTTTTTCTTCTCTGTGGTGTAGTAGTTGTGATGGTTTGAATAATAAAGGGCCACAGGGCCATAGGGAGTGTCACTCTTAGGGGTTATGGCCTTGTTGAAGTAGGCCTGGCCTTGTTGAAGTGGGTGTGGCCTTGTTGGAGAAAGCCTGTCACTGTGGGGGGTGGGCTTTGATGTCTCATATGCTCAAGCTACAACCAGTGTGGAGCACAGTTTCTTGCTGCCTGTGGATCAAGATGCAGAACTCTCAGCTCCTTCTCCAGCACCACGTCTGCCTGCATGCCACCATGCTTTATGCCATGATGATAATGGACTAAACCTCTAAAACTGGAAGCCAGCCCCAATCAAATGTTTTCCTTTATAAGAGATGACATCACATGGTGTCTGCTCACAGCAGTAGAAACCCTAAGACAGAAATATACAAATGACACCCCCTTCCAAATGTCCACCACTATCTGCATGCCCTGTTGCCAAAGGGAGATTTCTCCTAAACAGTTGCACGGCAACCAGAAAGGAACATTTACCCCATAATGAGCTCATAACTAATCCCCTCACAACAAGTTCTATCAAACATTTGCTACTTTTCAAGCGCATAAAATATCTTGTTAGAACTGAGGGGGTTATTTGTTTATTTGTGTTTGCCTTTACAACCAAACTCTAATGAGCAGCTTCTGATTACTTTTATCTTATTTATGGACTAGTCTGTGACTGGGGTTATTCTCATGGCCGCTTTTAATAGCAACCTAAATAAACAAACACCAGTTGGGCACCTGGTTCATACACTCAGTCTCAGCACTAGAGTTAGGACAAACGCTGTGAGCTAGTGAGCTCTAGGTCAACACCTTCTCTCAAAACAAATAAACAGCACCCGTATCCCAACAACACTTTTTAGTGATGAAATAGGATTTCCAAAAAGGATTTGAACCTCAGCACCATTAAATGCAGAAAACAACTTAATTATGATGACAGGCTACCTTCAACTAAGGCAGGGTCCGGAGTTTTCACAGTAACACTTCACACACTTTTAATGTGACCTTAAAGTGTGGTGATTAAGAGCATGGTAGAGGAACAGGCTGCGATAGCAGCATTAGAAATCACGGCAGGCTTCTGAAAATGGCCCCCTGGGGGCCTGGACGACTGGACAACTTACCGAGAGGTCATCTCCACGAAGCGCATTCCCTGAGAGGTCCAGGTGAGTGAGGGTAGAGGCGGTCAGAGGATTGGCACTGAGGGACTGACAAAGGCTGTTCACCCCTGCAACAAGAGAAACCATCCGAGCTCAATGTCCACTCTCAGAAACCAAATGAGGCTCTTGAGTTTCCACAAACAGCCCTGCAGTCAAATCAAACTGCCAGACCTGAGGGGCCAGAGCTCTGTCCTTGGAGAGGACCACTGATTGTCGGTCCCTTGACAATCCTTCTGGAAAGCCAGACTGCTTACAGACAACCTATACCTTAGTCTTCCAATTTATCCAAGAACAGAAAGTGTTTTATTGTCAAGTCCCAGAGTGGTAAAAGCCATCTAGCTGACGATTTTGAGTCTACACTTAATCCTACCAGATGATTCTCAACTGAGTGAATAGTATTTAAATGATACACATCCAAATACTGGTCATTTGGGCTGCTAAAATACTGAGAAATACAGTACTCTATTTAAGTGTATTATATACACACATATATTTCTCTATAAATAAGTATATATGTTTATATATTATAGAATATATACATTATATGTTTGTAATATTTATATTATATGTTGTAAATACATATAAAAATATAATTTGTAGAGAAAGAGAGAGAGGGAGATTTTCCAATATCTTTCTGAATGTACGTTAGACAGAGGTGTCTGAGACTTAAAGATATCACCTGCGATCTACAGGCCAGACACAGACAAATGGCTCAGTGGCAGACACAGACGAATCCATACAGGGGACTTTCATCACCGTGGGCCTGCAACTGTGGGTTCAGCCAACCATCACAGAAATATTCCAATTTTTTTTTTTTAATTTAAGTTACAGTTTAGATCTGACACTCAGCACTAGGAAAGCAGAGGTGAAACAGGATTGCCAAGAGTTTAAAAGGCAGCCTGAACTACATTATTTAAGGCAAGATCAGGATACATGAGACTGCAAAAAAAAAAAAAAAAAAAGCCACTTCAAATTTGAGGCTAGCCAGCTAGCCTGAGCTACAGACTGAGATCCATCTCAAAAACCCAAATGCAAAAGAAGCATATGTGCTGAGCATGTGCTGACTTTTTTTTCTGGTCAGTATTCCCTAGGTGTTTTTCTTTATATAGGTGTGTGTGTCTGTATACATATGTGTGTGTATACATATATGCATATATATTGTTTACATGTGTGTATGCATATATATGTGTATACACACACACACACACACACACACACTCTTGTGGTTAGTTTTTTTGTCAACCCGACATAAGCTGGAGCCATCAGAGAGGAGGGAATATCAATTGAGAAAATGCCCCATCAGAGTTCCTGTAGTTAAATCTGTGGGGCATTTCCTTGATTAATGATTGACGTGGGAAGCTCCAATCCACCTCGGGTGGTGCCACCCATCAGCAGGTGGTCCTGGGAAGTTTAAGAGAAAAGGCTGAGCAGGGAGCAAGTGAATAAGCAACACTCCTCCTCCACGGTCTCCGCTTCAGTTCCTGCCTTCAGGTCCCTGCCTTGAGTCTAGCCCTGGCTTATCTGATTATAAACTGTAACCTAGAAGCTAAATAAACTCTTTCATACCTAAGTAGGTTTTGATTAGTGTTTATCATAGCATAGAAAACAGACTAAGCCGATAGCTAGTTACACAGATTAATATGATGTCAGGTATTATAAGTAACCAAGAGATGACTTACACACTTAGCAAATGCACGTTGTATGCAAAGGCTCTACCACTTTATAGAAGGGATTTGGCACATGGACGGGAAGAAGCGGAAACCAACCTCTAATTTCCCACAGACCCCGAGGGACAACCATCCTCAGGATGCAGTGAGGCGGCTGCACCAGCCACACAAGGCTCAAGAGCGTCTAACGCAAGGACATGGGACTGTTTCACAAACAGAACCTCCAGTGGCCTAGAGCAAGGCTAACATCCCAAAGCAACTCTAATATATGTGTGTGTGTGTGTGTGTGTATGTATGTAGATAAGTATGTATGAAGTATTCAGAGTCTATATGAATACATAAGTGACCAGCATTCCTTCTTTTATCCTGCCATTTATATTCGCCTCACTCTGTGTGTGCATGTCCATGTGTTCATGTGGAGATAATAGGTCAATGTTAGAAGTCTACCGTGTTTGTTGAGACAGGATATCTCAGTGATCTGTCCCTCACCAACTAGATTAAGCTGACCAGCTAATGAACCCCAGACTGACCTATCTCTTCCTCAGTGCTGGAGGACAAGTATCTGCCATCAGGACTGTTTTTAGGTGGTTTTGTTTTGTTTCTTTGTTTCATGCGGCTTCTGAAAATCAAACTGAGGATCTCAAACTTAGAAGGGAAGTGCTTTGCTCCCTCCCCAGCCATCTCCCCAGCCCCCAGTGTTTACCATTCTCTTTAATGGAATGATGGAGCCTAAAACATTTGGAGAATACCAGACTCTCATTAAGAAAATCGTTTATAAGCCCATGTGTTTAAGTGCAGTGTTATAAAACCCAATAAATAAATTCCAAAATGTGAAGGCCAAATTAATCCTGACAGCAAAGAGGCCTTTGGCAACTGTGGGCGCTTGGCAAGTATCCAGCCTCTGAGTAGACTCCAGAGGGACCCTGCTACTAGCCCAGCTTTATCCTCCTCAAGCAGAAGGGCTACCCCCCTTCCTGAGCGCATGTTCACACAAGGCCTGTGTTAATAACCTCACAAATGGCAGGAGGCTACAAAGCTGTAGCGCTGGAGAAACTCAGGGCTTACGACCCAAATGTACCACAGACTGGCATGCCATTCTCAGCTCTGGTTATCTCGGGATTCCGACCACGCTTGGTATTCGTGATTGGAGAGTTTACAGCTGGAAGAGGGGGGCACCAGCTGGTCCTGCCTTGACATAATCTGTCAGCCAGCAGGATGCTTGAGTCCAGAAAGCTATCAAGCAGGGAGTGTCTGAGGTGAGTGTGGGTGTGGGGGCCATGAGGAGATTAAAAAAAAATCTGTCTACTATTACAGATCCATGAATATACATGTTTTCAAGAGATTAAAATAGTTACATTTAGGAGAAACTTAAAAAAAAACACAATTTCAAAACTCTAAACTTTTCAGAACATACATATGTGCCTTTAAGAAGCCAGTATTTTTAACATTGAACAATTCAAGACATAGGTCTTAAAAGGACAATTTAAAATTATATGGATCCTTTTTAATAAAATAACATTTGAAATGAACTCTTGCATTATATGAAAGAGACAAGCAGGGGAACTTTAGTCATGACCAGTTCAGGCAGGTTCAGGCTGAACTCACCCAAGGATACAAGAGAACCCTGCTTTGCCTGTGTCGTTAGCCTCGTCCTGCTACACTGTGCGGCAAGACATGAGTGAGGACTACTTCAGAACCAAAGCCTGTCCTGCAGAGAACAGATGGGGATGAGCACTGTGTCCCTCTACTGGTTTAACTGTAATTAACAAATAAAGGAACACGACTGCATGCTAACATATGTAGAGAACTTACATACATCAAGAAGAAAAGATTAACATCGTACATGGAAAACTGACCAAGAATGTCAAGTAGCAACATTCCAAGAAGATATACAGAGGACTAAGGAAAAGTAGGGGAAATGCCCTAAGCCAGTAGTTCTTGATCTGTGGGTAGAGACCCCCAGAAGATCATCAGACAACACGGATATTTACATTACAATTCATAACAGCAGCAAAGTTACAGTTATGAAGTAGCAACGAAAATAACTTTATGGTTGTAGGTCACCGCATGAGGAGCTATACTTAAAGGGTCGCAGCTTTAGGAGGTTGAAAACCACTGCATTTGGAGAAAATGAGAACAGCAAACTCTCCCTTGCTTAAGAAAACAAAAAGCCATAGTCCACAGTGGCTCGTGACTATAACCCTTGCACTCAGGAGGCTGAGGCAGGAAGATTGGCATGAATTAGAAGCCAGCCTTAGTTACAGAAGGAAAAAAAGAGAGAGATCAGGAGTTCAAGGCCAAATTTTGCTACATGAAAGAAGTGGTGGGGTTGAGCACAGGGAGGGGAGAAAAGAATGAAAAGGGAAAATAAAATTCAGTGGTGGTGAGAATATAAACAAATTTATACAAAATACTCCTAGGGGAAGGTGACAATCAGAAAGCTCTAAAATATGCACATGGTCCTTCCAGCAAACAATTCTACGTGAGACTTATCCTAAAAAGGAAATCAAGGAAAGAAGCAAAAGTCATGTCCAATCTCACATCAACGATACTGGCATTGCTAAAAACTTAGAAGTTACGTGCGTGGTAGAAGGTTATTTAAATTAATCAGAGTGTCATTCCACGGGCTGGGTAATCTTGTGGCCCCTGAAAGTGAGTGGGCTTACCAGCACCGACAGTCTCTGTACACAGAGTCGCAACGGCTCGTAAAACCCCAAACACAGCACTCCATGTGGCTGTGCACACACGCACGGACAGTCCCAACACAGCAGGGAGGTTGGGCCCAGAGAGTGGTGACATTAAAAATCTTTTTTGCTTGCTCACTTAACCTATCAGAATCCTTCATCAGAAATAGCCAACGAGTTGATAACATCAGAAAGGGGCTCTTCCGAGAATCAGTTACTGGGAATAGCAGGAACAATGAGAAGAAGTGGATCTTAGCTTGGGACCTGCATATGGTTTCTGACACCAGATCAGCAAACAACAGCCTGGGGAGGTTTCCCACTAGCAGTGGACATGTATGTGTTAGTGTTAAACGGGGGTATGTGAGACCAGGCACATGAGATGGTGAGATTCGTGAATCAATTCCAGCTTCGCGACCCTGCTAGCGTGATTCTACGATCAGAATAACGTGTGACTGGATGGACCACCATTTACCCTAAGTACAGCCAGTGGTGACAGCCCGAGTCAGGGCTGCTGGCAAGCTCAGCACTGAATGAGCAATGCCGCTGCCAGCCGGAAACGTCAAAGGCAAAATGCACAGTGTGTGAACACAGTGAGATTTTGCAGTGTGGCATGGGAAGGAAGGCGCAAGCGGGGAATGCGAGTTGCGAGGTAAGAGCTTCAAAGAGAAAGTCAGAAAGAAGCCAAATGTCACAGTAAGCTGTTCACATAATTGGCAGTAGGCCCTGGCAGATTGTCCCAGGTTGAAAAGTATGTTGAGACCCAGGACAGCACAGCATGGTAATGGTCACGATGCAGACAGTGACGACATTGCTGGTGGCGGCGGTGTCAATGACCGTGATGGTCAGTTTGATTGCGGTAATGCTGACAGTGTGCGATGACGGTTATGGTAAGAGAGAGGGGTGCTGATGGTGAGGACGACAGCGATAGCAATGGTGGAGGTGACGGTGAGGGTGACAGTGTAACCAATAGTTAGGGTGAAAATGGCATGATGGTGGCAGTGCCAGGGAGGGTGACAGTCACAGCAGTCACAATGAGGGGGATAGCAATGGTTTGTGACAGTGGTTGTGAGGGTGATAGTAGGGGTGACAATGATGGTAACAGATAACAATGTGATGCTGAGTGGGATACTAAGTGCGACAGTGATGCTATTGGTGACGGTGATGATGGAGGTAGTGGCGGCTGCCGCTGCTGGAAGTATATACTAACGTGCCTGAAGCTACAGCATGTTTATTAACTCATTGAATCCTACCACTATGACAAAGTGGTGATTCATTTCTGTCTCACAAACAAGTCAATCAAGGAACAGAGATGAGGACAGCAGTTCCCAGGAATCTGGGAAAGCCAGGCTTCAACCACAGGTAACATGAAGGGACTGACAGGCAGCACAGAAGCCCACCCAAGTAATAGCAAGTTTTTCAATCTTAGAAGCCTCATTGAAGCCCACATTGGTTTGGGCATGGTGTCAGGAACTGAAGATGAGGACACAAGGGCAGCATGGGCCCCAGGGGAGCCATTCTCATAGGAAGGACACAGCACTGACACAGTAATGTCCTGGATGTGATCCATAAATAGACAAAGGAAGGAGCGAGTGCCTCAGGTGTTCTCAGAAGTGGGAAGCCTATCTAGGCAGAGGCCACCATGGATGAAGATTTTGTCTGTAATATCTGGAGATGAAAAGCTGTCCAGGCACCAAGAAAAACACGGAGACACATGAAGAGATGGTGAATGTGGGGGTTTCCTAGTACCGTTATGAGCCACTGCTGGGCAGAGCAACAGAAGTCATGGGGTTTGATGAGTGACTAGATTAATGACGGAAGTGGAGAGAGTGTCAGGAACAGACCTTGGGAAAAAAATAAACATTTTCTGGGAAGCAAGACTGGAACTGGGGGACTATGGTAGTGACTCAGCAGCAAGCTGCAGTTCCTCTCTCTCTTCAAAGTCGACATTCACTCTGACAGCTGGGGAACTCAGCATCTTTTGCCAAGAATGAATCAAGAAAAACATGAACAGGTGCCTTCAGGAAAGTGAGTTACAAGGCTAGAAGCAGCCAGCCAGTGAGCACTCACTAGCTCAGAGCTAAAAAAATTAGGGCTGCACATCTACTTAAAATTTATTTTCAACAAAGAAGTCATTTAAATTTAGATGAGGGAGGATTGGGAGGGAATGAGGGAGGGGGACACGGCTGGGATACAGAGTTAATAAAATGTAACTGATAAGAAAAAAATAAAATTAAAAAAAAATAAATTACAAAAAAATTTAGATTATCAGATTTGAATGACACAATACCTTTACCTTAAAACTACCAGCATACTGTAATTTGCATATTTTAACCAACTGAATAGTTGTTCAAATGCAACAAGTACAACAATCAGAGACACCATAGGAAGGAAATCACATATACTGTACCTTTAGGTGACAATGAGGTTTTAGATAGGTTCAAATGCTTCAATCCCTTTGGGAGTTTGGCAAATTGAATACTTAATGAGGACACACCTGAGGGGGGAAAAAAACAATTATTAGAATTTTCAAGTGCTCAGAAACATGCTGTATTTTACAATGTGTAAATGTTAAATATGATTTCAGGAAAGCAGCTGTACTTTTCTGTCTGAAGTTAGAGCTTCTTTTGTAGCCATTCTCTGGTGTCCTTTCTGTGCTATCCATGGGGCTGGAGAAGTAGCAGACTCTAATACACACAAACAGTATCTAGAACTTTATTCTTCCACGCTCCCTGTCATAACGCTGTTCACAGCAAATCTATGGTTAGAGAATTGACTCGGTAGGTGCTTAACTTGCACGTTAAGCGCAAGATCCTGAGTCCAATCCCCGTAAAGTACATGTAAGAAAAGCCAGACGTGGTGACACATGCCTATCATCCTATCACTGAAGAGGCATAGTCAGGTACATTCCTGAGGTTACCGACCAGCCTTGCCAAAGAAAAGTTCAAATAAAAGTATGAGCCCCAACCTCATAGAAACACAGCAAACAGTGTCTTGAGGAATAACACTGGAGACTGACTTTTGCCCTTCACAACACAGGCACACACATGTGCGCCCAGGCACACGAAACCATATGGGCGGCCACAAGAAAATGGACACATATAAACATAAAATAATGAAGAGATAAGCATGTGTCCTTCGCAAGGTCCTTCGATTGACCTGTTACCACCTGGTATAGGTTCTCAGTGGTCAAATTAAATGGTGCTAAACTAAGGGGCAAAATCTTCAATCCAAGCAGCTATAAAGATCTTCTGTCTGTTTCTATCTGTGTCTGTCTGCCTGTCTGCCTCTGTGTCTCTCAATAGGTAAAAGCAATACAGCTTCTCCTGGGAGGGGCTGCGCAGAACCTCCCCCTCATCTCTGTCACCTCTGTCTCACAGAGTTGCTTTCTCTTTGGGATGAACTGATGCAATTTTCTTACTGTCCAGAACAGGGTAACTTTAACAACCCAAGCTTCGCTATTACCACATGAATTTCCATGCTTAACCAGCTTCTGGTTTAACAACCTCCATGGGGTTTGCACATAGAAATTCTCATCTTTAAAATTAGGTGTCTTCCAGCATTCATGGTTAAGTGTGGGAGACTGGAAATACCAGCTCGTTCACTCAGGAGCGATAAGCGAGTTCCCTTTCTAACACAGCCTCGGGCTGCAGGTGAACTCTGCTCCCCGTGACAACCGTAGCATAAGAAAAACCCCAGGCCCAGACATGCGCAATCTCTACTGGAGTTGCTGGCCAGATCAGTCCACATGCTAGGCTACTGCTGCTGCCCCTTGGCTACGACTCAGAAGGTAAAGTTGTCCATGCTGACATAGACACTTCAGGCACAGAACTAGAAGATTCAAGCCAGACCTAACCTGAAACTTCTACCTTGCCAAGGGTGGAAAGCAATCAATGACCGCTCTTACGCAACTGTAACATCAATGAACTGTAACAATGCCCAGCATGGCAACATATCCCTAAAGGTGCATGGTGGACTCATCTTGGCAGTACCCAACGACTGTCTAAGTGGACTTACAGCCCACTCAATAGGAGGGAAACGATGCCTGGTTCTATAAACCCAGCCAGCTAGCTGAGGCTAGTGAGGTCATGAATTTTAAAGGAGAATCTACTACTGACATTTTAATAGACCACCGTAATTCCTAGCTACATTATAAATCTCGTCATTATACCAACAGATTAATGTAGCTCTCAGCCCTCCTTGAAGCATCCCTTGACAGCAAACGAACATCATTACAGAAAAACACAAGAGGTCACAATGTAACACAACTGCACCTATGGCTTAAGCAGCACCACAGAAGAGGGAGTGGGAAAGATTCAAGGAGCCAGAGGACCAGAATGTGTGCTGAGAGACTGTGTGTCTAGAAATGACCCATCAATGCCTCAATATTGTTCTTTAAACAAACCTGAACAGCAGGAATAGCAATAGAAATTCTAATGAGAAGGGGGAAAATCTCATGGGAATCCTAGCACTAGACAAAAAGAAAAAAAACTACAGGGAGCTAATAACTGTTGAAAGAGCTCAGAGAATTATTCTCTTCCAGGGAGGAGTCAATAAAAAGTGGCCAACCCTGAAAGCACACACACACAGCTACACTTAAATAGACTCAATAGACTTAAATATTTTTATATATTTACAGATATTATAATTATAATAATTATATGTTATAGTTAATATATAATTTATAAAATTATAATGTTATAAATTTGTATATTTATGCATATGCATAAATTTAAAAATTTATATGTATGCATGTATTTATAATATGTGAAACAATAAGCCAAGCCTGGTGGTGAATGCCTGTAACTCCAGGACTCTGGGAGGCAGAGGCGGGTGGATTGCTGTGAGTTTGAGGCCAGCCTGGTCTACAAAGCGAGTCCACAGAGCCAAGGCTACACAGAGAAAGCCTGCCTCAAAAAACAAACCAAAGAAGAAAACAAAGTAACAATTAAAAAAAGGGTAACCAATTGGGGAGGGACACAGGAGAAATTAGTGAAAAGGACATGAAATGGGTTGGAGGGGGGTCAGGGAAGAGAAGTGACATAATCATATTTTAATTTTTAAATTAATTTTAGAAATTAAGTATGTGAATTTTTTAATATTCAAAAGTAAAAAATGACTTATCTAAATAAAAACATCAGATGCTAAGAGATATCTGGAAAAGTATGTTCAAAAGACAAAATGGGTTAAAAAAAACATCAAAATCACAAACTCAAACAAGTGTTGTTTAGTTGTAATAAAAAGATTTCTCAAGTATTACCATAGACAAGGTTAACATTTCCCTAATGAAGAGACTATAATTAGTCTGTATGCTCTGATCAGCATTCTGAAAATATATTAAATGAGTCTGACACAAATGAAAACACATGTATTCCTAAGCATAAGTGCACACACACACAGACAGAAATCCTTTCTTCAAAGTGCACTTTGAACATACATACCGAGTGGTGACCACATGTTAAGCCATAAAGTATGTCACAATAGTGGAGTATTCCTTAAAAATTAAGAACAGACAGAAATAATTCTCTAACTGAAATACTGTATGTTTTCTAAATGTTACTAATACTGTGTGATAAAACTAGAAGGTTGACAGAAAAGTAATGGAAATCAATCTGGCGCTTTCTCAGAAAATAAGGAATAACGCTTCCTCAAGATCTAGCTATACCACTCCTAGACACATATCCAAAATATGATCAAATATACAACAAGGACATTTGCTCAGAAAGGTTCATAGCAGCTTTATTTGTAATAGCCAGAACCTGGAAAAACCCAGATGCCCCTCAGTTGGATATCTGTATCTGTGGTGGCAGGAGCCACCACAGAGGGCCTCTAAAAGACTCTACCTAGCAGGGTATTAAAGCAGATGCTGAGACTCATAGCCAAACTTTGGGCAGAGTATAGGGAATCTTATGAAAGAAGGGGTAGATGAAAGACCTGGAGGGGACAGGAGTTCCACAAGGAGAGCAACAGAACCAAAAGAACTGGGCCCAGGGGTCTTTTCTGAGACTGACAATCTAACCAAGGACCATGCATGGAGATAACCTAGAACCCCTGTACAGATGTAGCCCATGGCAGCTCAGTGTCCAATAGGGTTCCCTAGTAAGGGAAAGAGGGACTGTCTCTGACATGAACTCAGTGACTGGCTCTTTGATCACCTCTCCCTGAGGGGGAAGCAGCCTTACTGGGCCACAGAGGAAGACAATGCAGCCAGTCCTGATGAGACCTGATAGGCTAGGGTCAGATGGAAGAGGAACAGAAACTCCCCTATCAGTGGACTGGGGGGAGGGTAATGTGAGGAGAAGAGGAAAGGAGGGTGGTATGGGGGGGAAGGGAGGGGGCTACAGCCAGGATACAATGTGAATAAATTATAATAAATAAAAATAAAGAAATAAAGAAAAAATAATAGAAAAGTAATCAGGAAATCTACAGATAGCCTAATGTTAAGCAATATAAAGAATATAACAAATCAAAGTGGAAAATACTAAGTAGAAGAAGAACTCTGATACCAACGTTCATGAAATCATTAGCGGTATAAAGCAATAAAAATAAAGTTGACAAAGGCAGTTCTTTAATGGAATTAATAAATCCCATAAAGAAGGATTAATAAAAGGCTATCTGTACATGGCCTACAGACACTACAGAAAGAAGCCAAAGCAAAAACACACTATGCTTAAAAGTTATCATTTTTAAAAAAAAGGGACAAATTTCTTAGGAAAGACACAGCTAAAGCTCATGTAAGAAGGAACAGTATATCCCTCTAGCCTTCTACAGCTTCAAGAATGCACACCTGCAACTATTTCAGCGCTGGGCATTGGAGCCAGGGCCTTGTGCATGCTGAGGAAGTGCTCTACCCATATAACTACACACTGGTCCCCAAGAATTTAAATCTCTAAAATCCTCTCACAAAGAGTAACAAAAAGCCGCCAAGTACATTGCAAGCTCCTGCTATCTAAGTCAATATTTATAAAGTTCTGCTACTTGTGAGCAACTGGATTAACATATCAAAACAGATGTCAGGGTGTGGGTAGCATTTCCAGGAGTGAGGAGACGGGGGGGGGGGGGGGGGGAGGTGCAGGAGTGGGACAAGAACCCCACAGGTAGGTTGTAGGTTTTGTACGGTTTTGTTCTGACACGAGATCCGTCCACAATGTACTACCACCTCAGGGCAGACCCAGAGGAAAAGTGCCAGTCAGCTGTGGAACATCCCCCAGAACTATGAGGCCAGAGTGACACTCTTCTCCTTCTTCCAGTCCACTGTGAGTGTGACATGTGGATGATGGAATTACACTGGGATTTAATGGGCTTCTGGGAATGTTCTTTATCTTCCCGTGACAGAATGTATTTCAAAATACAGAAGCCATGTGTGGTGGCACACACCTGGAATCACTGCACTGAAGAGGCTGAGGCAGGAGGATTGAGTTCAGTGCTAGCCTGCGCTACATAATGTGATCCTATCTCAAATCAAAACAAAACATTCTCATGTGAGACTGGAAAAAC